AGGGCTGTGTGACATCACAAGGGCTGTGTGATATCACAGAGAGCTGTGTGGCATCACAATGGCTTTGTGACATCACAGGAGTTTGTGTGACATCACATTGATGGCTGTGTGACATCACAGGTGTCTGTGTGACATCTCAGGGGCTGTGTGATATCACTGAGGCAATGTGACATCACTCAGAGTGTGTGACATCACAGCTGACTGTGTGACATCATAGGGGCTGTGTGAGGTCACTGGGGAGGTCACTCTGCCCCAGGCCCCCCTCCCAGTTTCCCCCAGAGAAGTCCAACACTGCTCGTGCACAGTGGGGTCCCCTGTCCCTCTGGGTCCCCCCACTCCCGTCGCCGCAGCCTCCCCCAGAGGATGTTCCATGAGATCGTCCCCAGAGCCTGACATGGGGACGGGGGCCGGGGATGTGGGGAGTGGGACAGGGGGACAGGGAACCCCCGGCAGCGTCCCCGTGTCCCCCAGGGCCAACGAGGGCTTGAGAGCGCTGAAAAATCCCCAGCAAGGGATCAGCAAAAGCCAGATTTAATATTAAGTGACGGCACCACAAAGTTCCTTGGCAAGAGTCACTCTGCTCCTGACTGGACACTTCAGGCACACCAAGTAAACAAAGCAGCAACAAAACCAAACAAAATCCAGGCAATCAAACCAGAAATGAACCGAGAACTGTCCCTGTGTGTGTGACACAAGGACAGTGAGGGCAAGGATAAAAGGAATACAGCCTAAAAGCTTAACAGAGCTCAAACTTAACAGGTCTTAACTTATACCTTAACCTTAAGTGATACCTTAAATGTCGCAATTTAGATAAAGAAGAGAGCTTAGCAGTATTTAACCTATTACCCATGACTTTGCAATTTAACAGAGGAATAACGTTTAACAGGAATAACATTTAACAGCTTATAACTTACATTAAACATGACAACTTAGCAAAATAACAACTCTTAGCAGCATTTAGCTTAGCTTAGGCCTTGTGATTTAACCTTACTTACAGGCCTGACTGGCTCAGCTGTCCAAGGCACTCAGACCCCTCAGGGAGCAGCATTTCTGCCACATTTCCCCAACACAGGCACACCTGTGTGCACACAGACACAGAGAGTCTGTGCAGGGCACCTGTGAGAAATTCCCCTGAGGGCAGGGAAATGCTCCCTGCGGATGCTTTGGCATCTTCCCAGTGGGGAAGGGTTGAGCCTGGAGGAGTGGGGGATCGTCCCAGGCTCCCTCGTTGTTCGGGATCCCCCTGAGTGCAGCAAACGGGAGAGTTCCCAGCTCGGAGAGGCCCCACCCAGAGGGAGTCGCTGGCCCAGGAGAGCTCCAAGGGCTCCTTTTGGAGCGCTGTTTGTAGGGCCCCAAGAGAGGGGCTTCAGTCCCAGCCATGTTTCACCCTGGCCGCACTTGGCATTGTTATGTGTAGTAGATATAATTTGTGCCATTTCTAGTATGATATATGTGATATTGAATATTTGTTGGAGTATGCACATTTGTATTAGGAGTCTCCCCCCGACCCTCGCAGGCGAAACCTGGTGTATGTTGAAACCCGATTAACTAGTAAAAGGATGTGACTGGGCCAGGAGTTGGGCCATGTCTGGAGAGATATGGGGACACCCAGGCGCTAATCATAGCATGAACGACCTGAGATGGATGTCATGGAAATCCTTGGGCAGATACATGTGAATGCAGGGAATTTCATCAAGAGATTCAACAACTCCAGACACTGAATTGTTCCTCCTCATCACCAAAAAAAAAGAAAATCTCATTAGCCTATGGACTCTGAATGGAAGAAAAGACTGACTTGTGAAATCTTGGCCTCAGGTAAAATTTTTCCTATAAAAACCGCTGGTGCCAGGATGGAGGTGTGTGGGCATAGAGGAAAACCTCTGCTGAGGCTGACTTCCTTGTTGCACACTCAGTGCTGACCCCAGGCTCGGCACAGTTTTTTCCTGGTGGCTGGCTAGATAGAATTTGATTGCAAAATAAATATTTTATTTTTTCATTTTAATTTGGCTGGACAAACTTTGATTTATAACAGCATCAACAACTTTCTTTGGCAGGCTGAGAACAGGAATGTTGTGCCACTGAGGGAACACAAACAGTTCCCAGGGCTGCTCCTAAAGCAGCCAGGAGCTGGTTGGGCAGCAGCAGTGCCTGGAGCAGACAGGGTTTGTGATGAGCTCCAGAGGAGCTGAGCCCAGGGGCTGCTGGCCAAGGCCGAGGCCCAGCGAGCGTTTCTCAGCTGGCAGGGCGGCCTGAGAAGGGGAGGGGGGAATGCACCAGCACAGGAATCACGGAACCAAGGGACCATTGTGACACTGTGGGCCTGTGAGAGCAAGGGACCATTGTGACACTGTGGGGCCTTTGAGACCAAGAGACCATTGTGACACTGTGGGGGCCTGTGAGACCAAGGGACCATTGTGACACTGTGGGGCCTGTGAGACCAAGGGACCATTGTGACACTGTGGGGCCTGTGAGACCAAGAGACCATTGTGACACTGTGGGGCACCATGGAATGTAGGGATCATTGTGACACTAAGAGCCCCATCACACCAAGGGTCCATTGTGACACAACAGGGCCTCATGGAACTGTGGAGACCATTATGACACTTCGATGTGTCATGGGACCAAGGGGCCACTGTGACACTGCGATACCCCAGGGAGCCAAAGGGCCATTGTGAAATTGCAAGGCCTCATGGAGTCATGGAGACACCATGAAGAGACTTCACAGCCTCATGGAACCAAGGGGCCATTGTGAGACTGTGGGGCACCATGGAACCATGGAGACCTTTGTGACACTGAGGGGACTCATGGAATTGTGGAAAAGATTGGGACACTATGAGGCCCCACGGAATAAGCAAAGCATTGTAACACTGTGATGTGGCTGCAACTCTCTGGTCACAGAGCTGCAGGCACAACTTTCCCAGGCATCATCCTGGGAAAGGCTGGGAGAAGCTCAGAGAAAAGAATGAGAAACTATTATTTTCTTCACTTGCTGCACCTGCTGTTGCGAACATGTGGAATGTGTTATGGAGATTTGTTTACCAAAAGGTGATTTCTTAATTGGCCAATGGTGGCGGTGTTTGGATTCAAGGACCAATCTGGTCTGACGGTATTGGGCTGTCTGTAAGGATGATGACTTCTTCTTAATTAATATAGTATAGTATAGTATAGTATAGTATAGTATAGTATAGTATAGTATAGTATAGTATAGTATAGTATAGTATAGTACCCCATAGCATAGCATAGCATAGCATAGTATAGTATAGTATATTAAAGCAATTGATCAGCCTTCTGGGATCATGGAGTCAATGCTAATTATCACAACGATGGGGATGCCATGCTATGATACTGTGAGGCCTCATGGCACCAGTTAGACCATTGTGGCTCTGGGGGTCCCCTCAGAACCAAGAGGATCATTGTGATTCTGTGGGGCCTTGTGAGACCAAGAGGCCTTTGTGACACTGCAGGGCTGCATGGAACCAAAGCTCCATTGTCACACTGTGGGGCCTTGTGTCATCAGTGGTCCATGGTGACACTGTGGAGCCAAAGGAGACCATTGTGACACCGCAAACCCCCAGGATCCAAGGGTCCATTGTGACATTGTGGGCCTCATGGAACAGAGGAATCATGTGTCATTGTGGGGCCTGGGGAACCACGGAGACCATTTGGACACTGCAGGAGCCCATGGAACCAAGGGAATATGGAACAGGTCTGGCTCTTTTGGCCTCCCAGGGGCTGCCTGACAGCTGACTTTGGTATTTTGAGGGTCTCTTTTCATCTACTGTTGGAGCACTGGGGCTCTGGGCTTTCCTTCCAATGGAAAAGAACTGCACTTCTCCTCCAGACAACCATGGCCAGAATTGGGATTTCACCTCCAAATATTCTTATATCCAGGGATTGTTCCCATGGGAATATTGCCAGGAAAAATCTGTCTGGCAGTCGTTTCTAAGGGTCACTTCTTATCTGTCCCCAAAACACTGGGGAAGGCTCCATGCTTTCCCTCCTATGGGAAAGAGCTGTCCTGATTCTCAAGGTGCCCATGGCGGAAATTGTGTTTCCAACTCCAGAATTCCCAATATCCAAAGATTGTTCCCAGACAAAATCTGCCATTACTGACAAGTCTAGCTGGCCTTGGCCTAGTGAGACTCTCACCTGCCTTCTAAACACTGGGGTTCTGTGCTTTCCTTCCTATGGAAAAGAACTGTCCTTCTCCTGAAGGTGCCCATGGCCAGAATTGGGATTTCACCTCCAACATTGCCTACTGTGATAGACTGGAGGAGATTGTTGGCTGGAAACATTTCATGTGTGGGGGAGGAAAGGGCAGGTCCAGCCTTGCCCTGCCCTGGAACCCCAGCACTGCCCTGCCCTGGAACCCCAATCCCCCCAGAGCCTCTATCCCAGCCCAGCAGTGTCTGCCAGGCCCTGGCACAGGACAAGCAATGCTCCACAGCCACCTCTGGAGCCCCAGCCCAGCTCCTGAGTGACCAAAAGGCCCCAAGTTCCAGCTGGGGGAAGGGCCCAGGAAGATCAAGGGGTATTTAAGGCTGACCACAAGGCAAGCACACATCTTGACCTCACCTCCTCTTGGAATTTCTATCTGAACACCACTAAACCAGGAGTTAGTAGCTGGGTGTGTGCTTCTCTGTATCTATTCTGTCTTTCTCTCTTTCTGTGTCTTCATCTTCAAATTCCTTCCTCTTGCACATCTTGATTAATTTAATAATAGAACAGGCTTAGAGTTGGTGAAGCTGAATAGGCCAAGTCAATGCTTTAAGAAGTGTTTTTTGTTCACTGAATGTTGTATTAAATATTTTGCCAAAGTTTCTATGTTTTCAAAATTCCCAGTAAAAAGGCTGTTTTGTTGTTTTGAGCTCCTGAGAATCTCTTGATGGTATTTCTCCAATTCATCAAACTCAGAGGACACAAATAATTGTAATTCCTTTTAAATGTCTCCTTTAGAAGTTTTTTTTTTAGTGGAGGCAGGTCAGGGCTTGTCTGTCCTGCTTGGCACAGCCCAGGCAGGGCTTTCACAGCCCCATCCCACACTCCATTTCCCAGCTGGAGCCGCTGGTGCCTCTGAGTTCTGCTGCCCCAGCCCCAGGGCCGCTCTCCTTGTCTGCCCATTCCCCCAGGGTCTCTGGGCAGGGATGGCCTCAGTGGGGGCTGCTGACATCCTCAGCAACTTGGAGGCTGCTGCTGAATTTTACTGCTCCAGAGGCTTCTTCAGCCTTCAGCTCCTCAGTGCAGGAATTCAGTGCTGCAGGGCTCATTAACATTCAGAACACCTTAACAAGCCAAGCCCTGGGAATCATTTAAGTTTTCAAATCCCATGTGGTTGATTACACTATATTTAAAAGGACAGTGAGAAAAGATTTCTTCAGGTCCTGTTTAGTTTTTTTTACTCCTAATAAATTGATGTGTGAAATCTCCAGTTGACACTGAATCCAAGTACCTCCTCATGCAGTTTGCATAGATATGAAAATCAAGACCCTTTATGGCTGACAATCCATCAGACTCTGTCCCTGCCCCCACCCCACCATTTCCCCCATCCAAGCCCTGGCACTCAGAGCAGCCTTGTGCAAATCTGAGCTCCCTCCAGCCCAGGCTGCACCTGCAGGTTTCAGCTCCTTGGCTCCAACTCCCACCTGCTTTCCTTGGAGAAGGAGCTGCCCGAGACACAGAGGGATATTCATTTATTGCCAGCCAACAAAGCCAAGGGAAGGCACAGCTCCATCAAATGCAAAAGCCATTCCTCTGCTGGATATTAAATCCATTTTGCACAGCAGACAGCCTCAGAGCAATAGAAAACACCTTCTGTGCCCAGCACAGATCCCAAGGTCCCCCAAAACCTTCCCTGCCTCGATTCTGCCCAGATTTGCTCTTTGCACACACGAGTCACAGGCTGAAGGCAGGAGCTCCCTCCATGGCCAGAGGGAGGAAAAGAGGGAAAGTGGATGAAGAGCTCTCCTGTGCAGAGCCAAGGTCCAAGTGCCCCTGCAGTGGGAACCACAACTCATCAGGTTTGTGTCCTTTGGGCTCAGGACTGGTGACACTCAGAGGCACAGAAAGGTTTCTTGCCAACAAACACAAGCTGAATATTTGAACAGTTTAAAAACAATCACAGCTCTTCCCTCAACTCTCTGTGATGTCCCAGCAGCATCTGACATGTCCCCCATGCCCAAGGGATTTCTGCACAGGAACAGCTTTGGACAAAGACATAAAAGGTAACTCTGGGATAGATATAAATGTAAGTAAGGTGTTGATTAATTACATATGTATTTCAACTTCTGAAAGATTGGGCTACTACATAAAGCTCAAAGCATGTTTTAGACAGAGACATAAGAAAGTGAAATTCTGGGATGTAAATATTAGTAAGGTGTTGACTAATGTGATATTTATTTGAACTTTGGAAAGATTGGACAACTTCCTTAAGCTAAAAGCATGAAACCAATCAGTTGAGAGTCACTTGAGTGACCAGACAGCACCTAGAGGAGGAAATCTGGGAGCAACAGGAAGGACATTGATCCAGCTGGTCTAGTGAACAGATGTCTTTAGACATGGCCATTTTAACAGGAGAGCTGGAAACACCTGAAGGAAGAGGGAGAGGAAATAATAAACAGGATATTGGTGACACAAGTAGAAGGCAAGGTCAGTATTTCTCCTCCTGCCTCCAAGAAATTTCTGTTCCTGGAGGGAAAATTTTGCCATTTCTTCAAAGTACTCAAGTGACCGAGATAATAAAAATGTCCTTGTATAATATGAAATGCACAAATATTAACACCTGTGCCCCTTTCCAGGCTGACATCAGCTGTGTGCCCATGAACAGGCAGTGCCACTTGTGCCCTGAGGTGCCGAGCTGGGATTGGATCTCTCAGAGAGGAGCTGAGGGAGAGCAGAGCACCTTGCAAGCTGCAGGTCCCTGCCAGCCCCGCAGGGCTCCTGTGCCATCAACATCTGCTCTGCTCCAGTCTGAAACAGGGCCCAGCACGGTGCCGGGGCCATCAGAGAGCTGAGGTGTGTGCTGGAATTCCATGCCCTCCCCATGGCACAGCAGCCCTGCATTTCCCTGCTCCTGCCTTGGTCTCCAGCACAGCCATGGAGGCTCTTTGGGCTCCTGAGTGTTCCTGCAGCCCCCAAGGGCAGCTGAGCTCTGCCTTTGGCACAGTCAGCCCTGGCCAGCGCAGGCCATGCTCAGCAATTCCTTGTCTGTGCCCGGCCTTGCTGCCAGCCCCGGCAGCGGCTGCGTGGCCCCTTTGTGGCCCTGTGATGGCCCAGCCATGGTGCCACAGCCCCTGTGCAGCCCAGCCCAGGACAGGAGCATTGCGGCTGGGAACGGCCCCTGTGCCGTGGGGCCCTGGGCAGCCTTGGGGCTCTGTGCCCCATGGCCTCCCTGCTGGGCAGCCTCTGCCAGCTCCTGCAGAGCCCGTGGCACCTGTGGGGCTGCACAGACAGCCCTGCCCCGGGCTCTGGTGGCCTCTGGGCCAGCAGAGAGGCCGGCCAGGGCTGGCCATGGCCGGGAACAGGCCCTGAGCCCCGCAGGAGGATGGAGCTGGGCCACAGCCAAACTCAGCCCAGGGCAGAGCTGGGCTCAGCAGCCAGGGCTGCCAAGGGCTGGCACAGACAGAGGCTGGCACTGACAATTGTCCTGGGCCCCCTCCCTGCTCTGTCCATGCCCCAAGGGCACAGAGCAGCCTCCTCTCTCGGGCTCCTGCCTGTTTTCAATGCCTTGCTCAGGCGCTGGCCCTGCCCCACAAGGCCTGGGCTGAGTCCTGCCCCTGCCCGCTCAGCCAGGCTGAGATGGACACTGATGGTTTCTGTGCCAGGCTCTCCCAGCCCAGCCCAGCTCCCTGCAAGCTCTGCCAGCTGCCCTGAGCTCTGGGCAGCACCAAGGGCCTCTCCCCAGCACAGCCCAGCCGGCTCTGGCCCCACAGCTCTGCTCAGGCCAGGCTGCTCTGGGCACTGCCCCACGGCCTCAGCCCCTGCCAAGGGCACAGCAGCAGCTGCAGCTCAGCCAGGACTCAGCCCCAGATGCTCTGATGGGCATGGATCCTCAGCCACTTGGGGGTTGCTGATGAATTTTGCTACTCCAGAGACCTCTTCTTTCTTGAGCTCTTCAGTTCAGGAATTCTGTGAGAAAAACTAACACTTGTTCAAAATGCCTCAACAAGAAAAGCTCCTGGGAATAACCGAAACTTTCAATTCTTCTGTGGTTAATTAGATAGATTTCAGAAGTGTATTCAAAGTGAATATATGATATTGAAAACAATGCAGAGAGAACTGTTTTATCCAGTGTTCTTTCCCTGTGTATAGATGGAGATCAGCAATGTCCCAATTGATACTGAACCCCTGCACCTCCTAATGTAGTCTGAATAGATATGAAAATCAAGACCCTTCATGGCTGACAATCCTTCACACTTTGTCCCCATCCCCTCCCCACCATTTCCCTCATCCAACCCCTGGCACTCCTATGGATGAGGAATGGTGTGGCCAGCAGGATCAGGGCAGTGATTCTTCCCCTGTGCTCAGCACTGGTTGGGCAGCACCTCAAGTGCTGTGTCCAGTTCTGGGCCCCCCAATTTAGGAAGGACATGGAGGGGCTGGAGCGTGTCCAGAGAAGGGCAACAAGGCTGGTGAGGGGTCTGGAGTACAAGTCCTGTGAGAAATGGCTGAGGGAGCTGGGGCTGTTTTTCCTGGAGCAGAGGATGCTCAGGGCGGGCCTCATCACTCTCTTCAACTCCCTGACTGAGGATGCAGCCAGCTGGGGGTCAGGCTCTTTTCCCAGAAAACAGAGACAGGAAAGGAGAACAAAGCCTTCAGCTGCACCAAGGGAGAGTTAGGTTGGATATTGGGAAATATTCTACACACAAAGTTTGACTGGGAATTCAAATAGGCTGCCCAGGGAGGTGGTTGAGTCACCATCCCTGGAGGTGTTTAAGGAAAGACTGGATGTGGCACTCAGTGCCATGGTCTGGGTGATAAGGTGGTTTTGGGTCCCAGGTTGGACTTGATGCTCTCCAAGGTCTTTTCCAGCCTAGTTGATTCTCTGTTGATTGTGACACTGCAGGGCCCTGGGGATGCAAGGGGCCTTTGTGGCACTGCGGGGCCTGGTGGCACTCAGAGGACCATGGTGACACTGTACGACATGGCACCACAGAGCCAAGGGCCATTGTGACACTGTGGGGCTGAATGGGAGCAAGGAGTGCATTGTGACAGTGTGGGTCCTGGTGGGACCACAGAGGCCACTGTGACCCTGCAGGGCCTTGTAGAACCATGCAGAGCATTCTGACAGAGCAGGACCTCGTGTCACCATGGGCCATGGTGACACTGCAGGGCCCCATGGAACCAAGGGGCCAATGCTGCTCCTCAGGGACTCATGGAATGAAGGAAACATGTTTGACACCGTGGTGGCCCTTGGGACCAAGAGGCCATTGTGACACTGAGGGACCAAGGAGAGCATTGCTGCCCTGCCAGGCCTCATGGAACCAAGGATCCATGGTGACACTGCAGGGCCTTGGGGGACCACAGTGCCATTCTGACGCTGCGGGACCCAAGGGACTTTGTGACACCAAGGGGTCCCATGGAACCAAAGGGACATTGTGACACTGGGAGGCCTCATGGAATCATGGAGACCATTGGGACACTCAGGCCACATGGAACCATGGTGACACCAAGTTGTCTGGGAGTGTTGATCTTCTGGAGAGTAAGAGGGCTCTGCACAGGGACTGGACAGGCTGGATCCAGGCCCCAAACCCAACAAGGTGAGGTTTAACAAGTCCAAGTGCCGGGTCCTGAACTTTGGCCACAACAACCCCAGCAGCACCACAGGCTGGGGACAGAGGGGCTGGACAGCAGCCAGGCAGAAAGGGACCTGCAGGGACTGATGGACAGCAGGCTGGACATGAGCCAGCCGTGTGCCCAGGTGGCCAAGAAGGCCAATGGCTCCTGGCCTGGATCAGGAATGGTGTGGCCAGCAGGAGCAGGGCAGTGATTCTTCCCCTGTGCTGGGCACTGGTTTGGCAGCACCTCGAGTGCTGTGTCCAGTTCTGAGACCCCAATTTAGGAAGGACATGGAGGGGCTGGAGCGTGTCCAGAGAAGGGCAACAAGGCTGGTGAGGTGTGTGGAGCACAATTCCTGTGAGGAGTGGCTGAGGGAGCTGGGGTTGTTTATCTTGGAGAAGAGGAGGCTCAGGGGAGACAAGGCAGTGTCAGGGCATAGGTTGGACTTGATGATCTCCAAGGACTTTTACAACCTTGCTGATTTTGTGATTCTCTGAATCCACCCTTGGAGCAGTTGCAGGAGGAGCCCTGGGCCTCCTCTTCAGAAGCTCCAGCAGCCCAGGTCCCTCAGCTTCTCCTCACAGCCCCAAAGCCCATCCTGTCAGTCCTGCAGAGCCTCTGCAGCTCCTCCTCACTGCCCAGAACAGGGAGCCCCACAGCCAGACACAGCAGCCCAGATGTGCCCCCCTGGCCTGGGGTGTCTCTGGCAAGGGAGCAGCACCAGGCACTGCAGGAGCCTCCAGACAATTCCTGCAGCACTTGTGGTGAGACAGAGTGAAAATTTAACATGGTATAAATCCATTTAGATTTATGTGAAATGTGCACTTTGAGCTTGCTAAGTATGCTGTTTAGTCTGGTGACTGCAGCCCTAGCCATACCACCCCAGCTAAGGAGAAAGAATGCAAATTTCCACACTAAAAGATAAGAGATAAGAAAGACTCCTCGGACCTTGAAACAGACAGGGCAGAGTGACCCAGGAGTTCTTTCTGTACTTTCTGACAAAAACTAGTACAAGTGTAACTATCTGTAAGTGTAATGTGAAATCAGCATAATGAATATGCATTAACCTATTGTGAAATGCTATGCATATGGAAATTAGTGCGGGTAATAAAGAAGGATCAAGAGTTCTCAGAGGGACTCATGTCTATTAAAGGGCAATGAGTCCCAATATGTGTCCACAGTGCTGTGAATAAACATACCCATTCCCTACAAGTCTTAATGGGAATTGTGGGGTTTGATTTTTCATCCATGTTTCAGTTTGATGTATCAATGACATCCTTCTCCACAGCTTTACCAGAGGATTTCAGCCCCAAGATCAAGGGGGGATCTCCTCATCCCTCCCATCTGGGACTCAACTTCCTCTTCACTGACCTCAGTGGGTTCATGTAGCTGCTCTGTGTGCCTGCCTTGTGTCCTTTTCTCTCACTGCAGGGAGGATGGCAGCACTGGCAGAGTCAATATCTGCCCGGGGCTGCAGATGGTTCCGTGAGCCCGGCCGGGCTCGGTCCTTGCGGCCGGAGCTGTTTTCCCATGGAGGTTTCTGCAGCGGCTGCGCTGGGGCTGTGTCAGGCTGGGCCGCGCTGGGGCAGGGCCAGGATCTCAGCAGCCAGGCCAGAAGGCTGAGATGGGGCTGGGCCGGCCTTGGCACCTCTTTGGGGCCCGAAGGGAGAGAGACCCAGCCCGGCTTTCTCATCTTCAACTTGTGTCTGCACAGAGGCACCTGCAGTTTGCTTAGTGGTTTAACAGATTGTCAGCTC